TATATATATTTATATTTATTTATCTGTTATACATTCATTGGTTAACTATTATTATTAATACATATCAGTTTATAAAATCAATTAAAACATAAATAATTTAAACAAACTAATTGTCAGATCTTCTGATTTTTGTCTTTTTTTATGAAAACAAATTATAAATTGTAACTTCCATTTATTAATTCATGTTATAATAAATTTACTACTTACTGTATTATAACATAAATAAAAAAATGTGTTGTTTTGAACTTAACAACAAAAGTAACTAATAACCCAAATTTATGTTAATTGTTTTTAACTTCAAAATTAAGGGTTTAAATATGTAACCCTTTTTCCTTTTTCCAAATAAAATAGGAGAAAATGGAGAAAAAGGAAAATGTCAATAATTCCATTATCTATTTAAAGAACTTCTAAACTTCTTTATTCATTAAGAAGAATGCCTTACATCCAAGGACCAAACAAGAAAGTTTCTTTTTTGATAATAACAGGTGGTGTAGGTGTTGGCAAGTCAACACTCATTCATCGTTTAGAGACACTCTATCAAAATAAAATTGGGATTGTCAAAGAATTCATCGACTTTTCGCCAACAAAAGGAAAAGCATACTTAGAAGACTTTCTCAGAGGAAAAATGAACTGTTTTGAGTTTCAGTGCTTTGTTTTGGATTGTTACAATCAACAACTCAAAGTATTATGTAGCACAAAGAGCATTGTTGTGTTAGAAAGAGGTCCATTTGATTCGGTTGGTGTTTTCACAAAACAAAGTTTAGTCGATGGTGGAATCACACAAGACGGTTATGACAGACTAATGCAGAAAGTCAGAGAGCTTGAAACCCAATATGGAATACCCTCATCTTCTCATTTGAAAATAGAAAGAAAGGATATGGCTACTCTAGATGAAGAAAGTGTATTCAACTCAATAAAAAACAACATTTTTAAAACTGTAGAAAACTCATCAGACTTACTTGTCTACTTGTATTCTTCCAACCCACAGAAACAACTTCAGAACATTGCAAAAAGAGGGAGACCCGAAGAAAGAAATTACAACATAGATTATATGCTTAAAATAAATCAAGCATATGCAGACCTATTTTCTGCTTGATTTTAATATGTTTTTATTCTATTTTTCAGTTATATTCTTCCTATTTTTACTTCTTTTTTATACTATATATTTATTATATTAAATACTTATTCATTTTTATAATTCTATTTTTATAATACTATATATTTACTATATATTTAATATTTTTTTGTATTTGTTATATAATATATTTTTTGTATGACATCTTTCTTTAAATAATACTGTTATTATAAATTGTCTAAAAACAACTATAATATTTAAATTATTGATGTTTGTTCATTTGGAATTGTAAATTATAAGTTTTAAATCATATTCCATAATAAAATAAATTATAATATATTAAAAAAAACTTATTTATAGATTTGAGACAAAAAAGAAAACGACAATAAAAAGTCGAAAAGAGACTTTAAAGTGATAATGTAGTTATTACTCTCAAAACCGGGAGGTTGGGTCAACACTCAAAGCGAAAAATGTGTATTTGGAACATAAAAAAATGGATAATAGGACAACAAATGGTATATTTAATAGTACATAACTATCAAATATTAGTTGAAATAAAAATAGTTTGGTCAACGGCAAATTGGTCACTTCCAAAAAATTCCATTAAATAAAAGTTAAACGAATAAAGTCAAAACCGTTTTGATGAGTAATTGGGACTTAATACAAAGACATGCCGTGCTTTCCTACGTCAACTCGCTAATCGCCGAACAAGTTGAGTTGTCCACACTGACTAGTGGACAGTTAATACAAATTCTTGAAATCCTCGCGAAGAAGAAGTGTGTTGTTAAAGCGTCTCGAATGACTGTGACGACACGTGCGAGTCGAATTCAAGAAATTGAAACAGCAAACACTGCGCTTAAATTTGCAAGAGAGAATGGTGTTCGGTTAGTCTCAGTCGAAGCGGGGAATATCGTCAACCACGATGAATTTACACTCGTCTCTCTCTTTGTAGAAGCCATTAAAAAGTTTAAAGGCCTTTCGAAATTTGAAATGAGAGACACTATCGCTTGGGTCAGAGAGAAAACACAACTCCAAATGAACAACTTTGTCTCCGATTGGGCAGATGGGTTTCTGATGAAATTTTTGTTTGCTTCGGAAACTCCTTTTGAGAAGTTTCAACAATTTGGGATATGCCAAGTTGTTGAAGAGAAGAATATGGGCAAGGAAGAGTTCTCAATGATACTCCAAATTAAATTGATATACGAAAAGTTCAACGAAATTAATGAAGACAGAGACACTATGCCTCATTTGAATGATCAAATGACTAAACTCTATGAAATTCGAAATGTCGAATTGCAAAAACAACACACGTACGTTAATGATGTGTGGCAACCAGTCGAAATTAAGACCAACGACAATGAAGAAAAACTTAACAAAGAAAAGGAAGAAGCTGAGTTGAAAGAGAAAGAAAGAATTGCAAAAGAAGAAAAGGAAAGACTCGAGAAAGAGGCCGAGAGATTAGAAAATGAGCGCCTTGCTAAAGAAGAGCAACTTAAAAAAGAAGAGGAAAGACTTCAACAAGAGAAATTGGCAAAAGAAGAGGCAGAAAGGATTGAAAAAGAGCGTCTTATTAAAGAGGAACAACTTAAGAAAGAAGAAGAACGACTTCAACATGAAAGAGCAGAGAAAGAAGAGGCAGAAAGACTTGAAAAAGAACGACTTGCTCAAGAAGAAGCCGACAAGAAAGCTTTTGAACTCGCTGAAAAACAAAGAGTTGAAGAAGAAGCAAAAAGACTTCAAGAAGAAAAAGCAGCACAAGAGGAAGAGGAAAGAGTTGAGAAAGAGCGTCGCGAAGAAGAAAGACTGCACCGCGAAGAGGAGTTAAGAAAGAAAAGAGAAGAAGAAGCTGCGAAAGAGAAATCCGAAAAGGAAGAAGCCCAAAGAAAAGCCATAGAAGAAGCCGAACGATTACAACGAGAAAAAGAAGAACAAGAGCGAAGAGAGAATGAAAGGAAAATGCTTGAAAA